AGGTTAGGCTTTGGGTAGAGTGCAAGCTTGTGGTTTGACTCTTCTATAGTGGGCATACACGACATGACCACGTGCACAGCTCTGAGAAAATTACAGCCTGCTCCCACTAAAACTAAACACATGCTGGGCCACTTAATTTGCGAGTTGGACACAGGATACATCGGACGATTCTGCTGAGTCTTCCACATAGGTTTCGTGAAACTGAAAGAGAGTCGCAACCACATCCAGAGATGAGCAAACTGACCTGACCAAATTGTATAGCTCATGGTGCACTCTCCCTTTGCATACTCTTTTCCGGTTTACGATCGTCATGTGCACAAAATTTGTGTCCAGCCTGTTCAGATAAGTACCATGTGGGTTGATCCATCTCTGGTTGAAGCGCAACAAATATACTCTTTAATTAAATGCAACCAAAGACGGCGTAAAGTGCACATATAGAGAGGTTGGTGGGGCCATTTGATTATTATCAGCATGTGCCGAATAGATACAGGAAAGATTGATAAACTTGTGTAGAAACGGATCCCATGCACTTGACAAGCTGAGTAGCACGGGAATTACAGAACCCCTTCCCCCCACAATTGTTCTGGGCTTGTCATTGGCCAGTCGGCAAATGTAAGTTCTAAACTGAGTCTCGCTTCCGGTGAGACCATGTCCCATCCGTACTGATAAGTCTCAAACCAACTCATAGCAAGCATTCCTTTAACAATGTAATGAAAAGGCAAAGTGTTTAGTTGCTTCATTTATTTTCTCCAACTAGGCTGCATGATTTCAAGTGTCACGCAACCAGCCAGTATGATCGCAGTGCCACTACATGGGCAGAGTCAGTGCACGATAGAAGTGATGGCATACTTATTGATACCACATGCACCAACGCCACGCCGTATCCGGAAATAGCCCTGAAATGTAAAAACTTTGGGATCAAATCATGGACCAGGATGGTTTAGTAAAGTAAAGACGACATGCATGCGGTGACTAAGACAAAATAATTCAGTGAAGCGAAGGAGCAGTGATCTAGTGCGATCAAAATATCTATTACTCAACTAGTCCTTTCCTTTAAAATTTGGATCGAATTGCTCAAAAATACCTATGATTTAACTATAGAAGGAAAAAAGCACTTTGCTAGACACCATTGTCTTCACAAGAAGGCGTACGTCCAGCCGAGCTCAGGCTATCTCCACCTGATGAGTCCAAACCAGGACGAAACCGCGGTCGTGGGGTGCCAGTGTTGGGATGAGCAACATCAACATATTTTCAGTCTAGCAACCTACTTTGCTTGTGTGGGGAACAATGATGAACGCGCTTTTATCACGTTATATAGGCTTCCGATTTAAACGGGGTATGTTCTGTAATGTAGGTGCGTTAGAACGGCATAGTTACGCTTTTTGTGCACCAATAATGCGGAGATGCTAACAAAATAAAAAGCGAGCGCGTACTCTGTTTGGTAGAGACTAAGTCTGAAGACGTTCCGACAACACTCCAATCGGCTAAATTGCGAGTCAAAGTTCGTGTTATGAATATATTGAGAAGGATGGCAACAAACATATCTAGAGTTCCTCACAAGGTTCTTTGTAAATATATGTTTGTCGCATAAGCGACGTTCCTACCCACCGTGCTGCCTAAGCGCTTTCTAACTGCTTTAAATGCGTCCATCCTAAGTGTTCTGTACTTCATCCTAGTAAAGTGGAGCTGCACATTGGAGAGCCAAACACTCTGGCTTTGTGCAGTATTTACTACCATCACGCTGATCAAGATCTTTTCTCATTTATCTCATAAGTACGAAATACTAGAGGCAAGTATTGGGCTACAGTGCGCATTAAGTTAAAAGCACATGGATAAAACACAGCCATGTTCATTAGGTCATGCTTCAATCTTGAAGATAAACTGAGCAACTCATTAAAAAGGACACCTGTGGCATCGAACCTCGATGTCATCCATCTCCGACCAGAATAAATACCACAAAGGATTCGTCCATCCTCCAAACTGCGCTAAACTCCAAGTGCATGTCTTGTAGAGTGGTGTGTCAGCCGTGATTTCAGCCAAGATCGCCTAGAAATTTAAGCCTTATACCCACCGGGTCCGGAACCAATGAAAGAGGCGATGTCCAACTAACACCAGCACAATCCGTTGAATGCAGACCAACGGGGTAGTGGACCACGAGCATGCAGCACTAAGCATTGAAGAAAAGCCTAAGAAACTATCAAGAATCTGACATCACTGTTTCAACTAAACGTCAGTTCCCCTTAAAATAAAGAGACTGGATGACTTAAGCCAGTGCATAATCATCAGCAACATCATAGGTGTTGCGGCTAGGTGCATCAAACTGATACAGGTCACCTGTCGCCTAAACTCGAGACGCTACATTGGACGACGATTTCGCCGAATTCTACAGATGAAGTGAAGGCAGTCCGGCTATCGATAGGTCCTCTTCGGAATGAGTTGTGTTAGCTTCACATTTTCCCGGATGTTCTGTCGAAGAGCGCACGCAAGCGAAACACTACCTGTTAGACTATCAGAGTGAATATGCAACAAGAACCTTCTTTGTTCATTGTCACCAAATGCGGGGGACAAGATGAGCATGAAATAGCAACCCACGATCATGGGCTGAAAGGTTATACTCGATAGATCATAATAGAGAAAACCGTCAAAGCTAACTGATCACAACTAACTAGTTTATTGGGTTATAAAGAACGTAGTCTACGGTTTCCGAAAGTCACGCTTTAATTCAGAAAGATGTCAACTGGCGCACTGGAATGATAGCATGTGCCTTGCCGTGAGGCGATGTCCTCCGGGTAAACAATCCAGTGACAAATAGGTTCGAATCGCTTGTCGTTAGCGGGCCGGAAAACCTATTTAACAAGCTTTCAAAGTGGTGGTCGCACTCCCTAAGTTATACGAAAGCTTATAGACGGACCGTTCACAGAGCCACTGGTTCTAACACGAATTAATTACCATGTAGAATTTCATCACATTTGGTCTCCGTCAGACAGTCTTCATATACTGGAAAAGCACCGTACGGCCGTTTCAGGGTTTCTAAAATATCGGTGAGCATTTCTGCCGGCCCTGTGTGGCTAGAACCCGCAAACCGACCGTGAACATTCCATGGTTAAGACCACAGTCGGCGCAACCTGACACTGAAAACGCTTGCCATCTGACTCACTGTTAAGACCAGATGGAGTTCTCTGCGCATACAACATTGCACAAGTCGTCCACAAGGAGCTTGCGGAAGCACTAAAAATCACATTCCCTGAAGCATTGCTAAAGTACGTGAAGCAATTATGTTTGTCTGCTAATTTCCAAACGCACCTTAGCTAGAATGTCAAATCACGATCAGGTCAGATTACAAATGCATAGGACCCGTATTTTCTGAAACTTGGTTGGATCGAGAAGTTTTTGGTGATAAGCTTGACATACCAGGTATACAACTCATCCAGATCGTCTGTCTCACTAGATAAGGTATCTTTCTTCTGCACTAGCGCAGCGACCTGCAATGTGCGATTGCGGATGACACTGCAGACCATGCCATCGGCTCACTCAGATGCTGTCCACAGAGGCTGATAACAAATTCGTGAAGGTTGTAACTACAGTGCTGGACCAGCCGCTGCCGCTTGTGCAACAAGTGCCAAATATGCGGAATCAGGGTAGTACTACCCCGATTTTTAAAGTTTATGATCTTACTAACTCAGCTGCTGCCAAGTGACTCTCTTCCCTTTGCTCTCGATAGTGAGAAAAGTGGTTGACGCTGAGGCGTTAAAAAGATACCTGAAAATGCGCATGAATAATGTGTTGGGGCGACACAGCCTTCCTCAAAACAGGTCATGCAACACCAATCTACCAATGGCACGAGGTATTTAAACGGAAGAGACCGATGGTGAAGCTGTGGCCCACACGATCTGCTTGAAGTAAGCAAAGCTTAAATAGCATGGATCCCGCAATCACTTAGGACTTACTGTATTTCGCCGGTAAAGTCAAAGTATAGCCAGCGATTAATGACAAGGCAGAACCGGATTCCCACCAACATAACAAGAAATTGGTCTGCGAATACTCGGCGAACAACGCACTCTAATTTGGCGCGGCTGAGTGTAAGGTGGTATATGCATGCATGGTTGGCTGCATCCGGTTTCGGATTTGCCTGTCACTGTGGTAAGCCACAGGACGCACGCGCCTGCATAGAGAACCATGGGTGGCTTGCGCTGCACCACAAAGCCCCAACCACAAACTCCATATCCAGTGTAAACCCGAAGGAATAAGACCGGGAGGCATGTGGATGGGAGCCACGTTTCATCAAACGGAGCCGGCCCACACTCCTTCACAGGCAGACACATACACGTTGTATTTGGGGAATCAACCGCACACAAGGCGGTGGCTGGACCGTAGTCCGCTCCACACTGAGTGCATGGAACCGCTCTTTAAGCCTAGCAAGTCACAAGGACCGTGCACCCCGTCCCCTCCAGCAACGACCAACTGTCTCCTGGAGCCAGTATGGACGAGGTAGTGGGTAATAGACAGGTAGGCACCTTGTCAAGATGCACAGCAAGCGCAGCCACACCGGGGATATCAAGCAACAGCCATTCACTTTAAACGACAAGCTCAACTAAAAATATCGGTTAAAGCATACGGCTAGGGTGACAATACTCTTCGCTAAATTAGCATATGAAGGAAGTTAGTTAGCAACGTATTCCTGCTAAGTGCAAAATGTCCATAAGTTATTCCAAAATGTCAAAAACGCGCTGAAGTTAACGGAGATAACCATAATAAGGGCAAACAAATTTTGCAATTTAACAGAAGATTATAAAGGAGACAGAACAAACCAAATGAAGTGGAATGAAATTTACCTGCTTAACATGACGCAGTTTAAGTGCAAGTTGATTTAGCCCAACTGCAGTGAAGAAGCATCATGAATACAACATCAGCCTCAGCCTTAATATATATATATATATATATATATATATATATATTCGCGAGACTCCGCGAATTAGGACTGCGTAGCCGCGCTGAATATGTTGCCTTGTTTGGTAACGAAACGTCTGCAACAGAAATGCCCGGCTCGGAGAACAGGACAATCCTCTCATCCGCACCCCGAGCTAAAGGTAATCTCAATTGTCGAAGTGATCGAGAGGGCAGATGATACTCTTCTCCTCTCTATTCCGAGAATTTGGATTCCGTAGTCGTATTAAAATGCGACCGCACATCATTACCTAGCGTACATGTCACATGCAACTCATCACTATCAATAAGATCTTAGCTAGAGGCGAAAAACACCTCAGCTACAGTGTCGCAAAACAAAATAAAATAAAAGAAAGGAAAACCTACAACAGGTGCACGCCAGTTGATCTACCACTAACGGATTTTCAGCGTTCCGGAAAGCTCTCAGCCGGCTACTATGGAGCAAAAATTTTATTAAGCGAAATTTGGATTATGCTGAGAAATGAAATCACAATTGGAGGTTGAGGCTAGGAGGGATGGGGAGGGATAAAGAAACTCACGTCAAGAATGCCACTGAGGTCGGCTAATAGCCATGTCAACAAGGATATCCACCCAGACGTGTTCATCTTCTTTCGGACCCCAACCAGAGGACCGAGAGGCTCCAATCGGGGCCAACATCGTATTAAGGATTCTCGATCAAGTTCTCGCCTGAGCACCCATCCTCTTCTTCCATCCGCACTCCTGGCGCACAGACAACCTATGTCACGAGAAGCGGTGGGCTGGCATGCGTAACACGTGACCGAACCATCGGAGCCTAGAGCGTGAAATAACGGTGCTGAGCGGATCATTTCCTTTTCCTGTGCCGTAAACGAGACGTCCAACACGCTCGTTGCCCAAGCTGTGTTCCCACAGATATGGGCAGAACTGCGAAGGTACCGGTGATCGAACGTAACTAACCACGTTATTACTGCTG